AACATTTCTGGACAAAAAGACAAACAGAAATGCAAGGCTACCTATGGTTTTTATCTCCCAGGGGTCTCAAAGTATATCATAATTACCTGGCAGAGAGTATTATTCTGTAAACCAACAGTATCTGAGACAGGTCTCAATTAATTTAGAATGTTTATTTTGCCAAGGTTAAGAAAGCGCCTGTGACGCAGCCTCAGGAGGTTCTGATGACATGCGCCCAAGGTGGTCAGGGCACAACTTGGTTTTACACATTTTAGGAAGACATGAGACCAGTCAATATACATAAGATGTACATTGATTTGGTCCAGAAAGGTAAGACAACTTGAAGAGGGGAGGAGGCTTCCGGGTCATAGGTAGATAAAAGACAAACAGCTGCATTCTTCTGAGTTTCTGATTCACCTTTCACTGAATACACAATTTACTGGAATAGTCGCTTATGCCTTAGGCTGGTTTAGTGAAACAATAAGACAAAGGAAGCAATTAGAAAGACATTTGTCACGTAAGCAGAGGGATGACTTTGAGTTTCATCTGTCCTTTGTCCACAGGAATTTCATTTTGGTCAAATTGCAAAGAAGGCATGCAGCTTTTTTTATTTTGGTAGCTATCATTTTTAGGAATAGGATGGGAGGCAGATTTACCCCAAGCAGTTCCCAGCTTGACTTTCCCCTTTGGCTTACTGATTTGGGACTCCTGAGATTTATTTTCCTTTCATAATTCCTATAAGCATTTTACATGTGGATGCAAAGACACTAAGTGATCCACATAAAACCATATGAGCTGAGTTTTCTCTATGGTATATTGCTGGCAATACTGGTAGGCCCAGAGTTTCAAGGCCTCAAGATTGTTAAGTACTTGGTAGAATATCACTATTACTAATTTATTTATTTATTATGAGCCTATACAAAGTTTAGGTTAAAGTGAAGGTGATGTTCTATAAAGAGACGGAAGACACAGAGAAATCTGTGTTTCATTTGATAGGACACAGAGTAAAATTTGGGGTGGTAGAAGAAGAAGAAAAGCCGAAAAGTATATTAGAAACTTGAGGTGCCCAGACACAAATGCTGGAGAATAAAAGCTGGGGGTGTATATGGGTTACAGAGGATCTGGGCAGCCCCACCACATCTCTCTTGGCCACAAAGAACAGCCAAGTCTTTCTGTATCCCCCAAGATGGGTTCATACATCAACTAAAAAGGAAAGAAAGTTAGCTAGCCCAAAGGTTGTCATAAAGATATGCCAGAAGAGAAAGCAGCAAAGATGGTAAAATCAGAAACCATATGGAAACATGGGGGTCTGGCCACTTGGGGAACATCAGCATGGAGTGATGATGGTGCCTGGAGACCTGCTCCAGCATGGAGAGGCACCAGCAAATAGCCAATGAGCTTCCAGGTGATGCCAGAAAACTATAGCGATCCCTAGGATTTTTGATGTCACTATGAGGTAAAAATAAAGAATAGCAAATCATGATCAACTAAGTTTAAATGTGAAATGGCTGAGATAACATGAAGTAACTGTGGTCATCTAGAATTAACTAGGAAATTTCCCAACATCAGAAAGCACAGAAAACCTGACATAGAAGCTATGTTCTGTACAGAAACATAAAGCTATGCTTTATGGCTGCCCGTTATTGTGGACTGAAAATACCATAGCTGCTACGTAATTTTATTTGGTAGATTATGCAGTGCTATGGAAACATTTAAGCAGAAGAATATCATAATCAGATCTGTGGACCATGCGGATGTGTATGGGAGGCAGAGAGGAAATAGATGGTGGAAGCAAGCAAGATGGCAGCCTATGGTGGCCTCGCTCAGTGCATCTCAGATTTCGATGAACCGATGAATCATCTGCAGGTCTTATTAAAAGGTGAAGTGTGATTTGTCCTGAGGTTGAGAGAGTCATTGAATTATAGCTGACTCCTAAGTGAGGCTAATCCTCTAGTCCATGGAGAATGTTTTAAGTAGCAAGGGTCTAGGTGGCAGGTGACTTAGCCTGAACTAGGCAGTAACAATGGAAAAGCAGGGAAGACACGGCTGAGAAGCATCAGGAAGTAAAAACGACAAGACTCAGTGACTGCTTGGAATAAGAGAAACTATTCATGACTCCAAGATTTTTAGGCTTAGACAACTAAGAGTATCGTGGTACCATTAACTGAGTCCTCAGAAATAAAGATTATGCAGAAATACCACAGAAGCCCTTACGCATATTTATTTCTACCCTGTTGTAGAAAAACATCCCTACTGTGTAAGGTTGCCTTTTCTTTTCTCTCTCTCTCTCTCTTTGCCCACTCAAGCAGAGTTCTTTGTAGAACACTGACTGCCTATTTTTCAGCCCTTTGATATCACTGCTTAGCACATGGGCCCCACACCACAGGAAGCAATTTGAGATTGGGATACATTCCTCTTTGCATAGTAGGCTTTGGCTGCTTTGTTTTCATTGCACATCGTTAATAATTTTTCCCTGAACAAACTGAAAATATGCCATTAGAGAGATTAACAGATATGGAACTCCAAAGAACCTAAAAGTACTTCAGTGCAGCTTGAGAATTATAAAATGAGTTGTTCCCAAAGTAAAAAGCAAACTATGTCAAACAGGTGTTTTAAGATTCCCCAAGTAATAGTCCAGAGAGGACCCTGGGACCCAGCAACAGTCTTCACTTGCTGTGTGAATTTGGCTCCCGGTCTGAGAGAGAGAGTGATAAAGAGATCAGGAAAGGCCGCTTCTTCTGCTGATACCCAGGAGTCATCATTACAGGTGAAGCAGCAAGTCAAGAACGGTCCATGCAGTTGCCAAAAACCATTTACAGAGATGAACCATGGGAAATGGCCGTACAATTTCATTTCTCATTTCAGATTCTTATTTAAGTGAGACCAGATTAGACTCAAGCCCCTGTCTGTACTGCCTGTGTGTGTCTGGGGGAGAGGGAGGTGTGATGGGAGAAGGAAGGGGGGTGCCTGGTATTGTGCTTCTGTGAACTGGTTTCCTTAATGCATAAAGGTAACACTTAGAACAGTTCATAGCTTCCCCAGGAAACCATTCTAAGTGGGCCACGTGCCCAATGGTTTCTATCCCAGTTAAGTAAGTAAATGAAATATGCTAATTAGCACCCTATTAGCTCACAGCAGGGAGTAATCCATGGCATTTTGATTGGAAAGAATTCTGTCATCCAAAAGGCTGGTCTGTAACAGAAGGCAAACTGGCCCAATTTCCTCCCTCCCTTCCTCATGGCAGTTGTCCAAATGTCTGAGAAGCAGACCTCACAACTGTGTGCAATTCCAAGGGTGTCACTTCACTCCATGAAAGCATCTCCTGGCCTACACTGATTCTGGCACCATGCTGTACTGTAAGCATGGATTTATATAATTTAGAAATATGGACCTGAGCTCAAAACACTGAGCAGGTTGGGTAGGATCTTTGAGGGGGGAGGGGCAGGTATTATTTCTTTCATTATGAGAATATCCCTACTTGTATTCTCTGCCCTCCCAGACTCCAATCTGGAATGTATTTCTTTAACTCAGATATGCAGGTGTGCTGCCCTGGAGTTGAAGCAGTCTTCTTATCAAATGGTAGAGCTTTGGGGTTTTAGTTGGGGAAAGGCCAGCTCAGTTAGGTTCACCTTTTTCTGTTTGTATTGTTTCAGCTGCAGGGAAATCCCATCTAGCTCCTGTTTCCCTAGTACTATTTCAAGGCTAGATTTATATCTTGCCTCTTCTATAGTACTTTGCAGAAAGAAGGGATTGGGGGCCAGTACAGACACTGAAGGAAAAAGCTCAAGACAAGAACAGCATGTTTTCCAATCCGCTTTTTTAAAACATCCACTTTCTAAGAGCTTCAGGGTTTTAAAGGGATTAGACATTATGACACATCTGTCAGGTTGCCATAGAATGTGTTGAAAATCCCCGTAAGAGTGGGACTCATGCAATGAAGCTTAGTTATATCTTGGGTAGGCTTGTAACACATTTTCTGTTCTTTATACCAAAAGTTACAGGGATCACCTGTGTATTTGCTGGTGGCTGTCTAATAAAAGATGTGGGTGTGGGAGAAGTCGATTTTTAATCATCTGAATGTTACAAAGGCAAGTTTCCAGTGAGTTTTCTTTCTCATGCTTGGTTTTTCCTTTGCATGATGACCTACTAAAACCAAATAGATTTTGAATGCCTATGGCAATACCTAACAAAAGCATTAGTTCTCTGCATGCTCTCTTGTTTCCTTTCTAGTAAAAAAATCAATTAATATTAAATTTAAAATATGTCAATAGAATGCATTGGTTATAAATACATTACTTTTTTCTGGCATCCTAGTTTTGCTTTTACCTATGAAGAGACCCTATTATCTCGATTAGATATAAATTCAAAACAAACCTTGAATACCAGCTGTTGTATTCTCAACATTTTAGAATTCAACTTTAAATGAAATCTTCCAAAAAGTCAGTCCAAGGAAAACTTCATAGTAATATTTGTGTCTCATTCACTACCATCACGATATTGATTGCAGTACCTGAAGAAATCGTTAGGTACCATATGACACTGATGTCTATTTAGAGTGTTTTTTATTCTGTATTGGAAAATAAAGCACATTACCTAAATAATTCAAATAGAAAGAAAAAAATTTGTCCTTAAAAGCAATCTGTGAATTAGCATATGGGTTTCTGGAACCCAACATCTTGATTCTATATGTGAGTCAGGATGAAAAAACAAGAAAAGAATGAAAGAAAGAAAATGGGATGCTGTCTCTAAATATAAAACAAGAAATGATTTTCTTCATTCAAAGAGATTTCAAAGAAAGTATTTATGACAGTGAAGTAGTCAGTTGGACCTCACAGTGGCTTGACCCAGGACTGATCCCAAGAACAGTCACAAAACTTTAAATTACCCAAGACCCAGATGATGGAAAAATATGTTCCTGCTCCTTTGCTCTGTAAATCTAAGCACGTTCTATATGCAATCTAGGCTTTGTAGTTTTGGCAGATCTACCTAGCTTGAACTGGAAAACTGTTCAGTGAAGCATTAAGAAAGAAAGAATATGAATCAAAGGCAAGAAATCTAGCAGCTATGGCAGCCACTGCCATTACTAGACAAGTGTTAGTGAGTCTTAGGAGGCTCCAGTTTTTGTTCCTTCAGCCCGGCTCCCAGTCCAGTTGGAAAAATATAACTTTGCTGCTTAGGAAAAAGCCTCATGTCCCTCTTGCATTTATCAGATACTGTATATCTGCCTTGAATATATAAACTGATGGAAACCGATGAAGTCAGGAGGATAACGGAATGAGGCCTAAATGCTTTCATGTACTTTGGGTTGCTGGGGAAGACTTTTTCTGTAAATCACATGTTCCAAATATCTGTCTTACTTTGAGCTTGGATTTCTGAAGAGAAAACATATAACCTAGCAGTGGGAACAAAAGACAGAAATAACTCTCTGTTGACATTTTTAATTAGATGTGGTTGCAGGGCCACTCAAGATGACAATTAGCCCCACTGCAACTACTGTTGACGGATTACAAGCAAACACTGCCTGCTACCTGGTAATTCTACCTGCTAATTGCTTGGAAAGATTCAGTGATTCAACAACTGACCTGAATGTTTTCATGAATTGGAAGACCTATTAGAGAAGGGTGGGGGATGACTTTAAAAAAAAAAAAGGAAAAAACCACATGGTAAAGTTTACAGTTAGGAGCTGTTGAAATTTCATCAAAAATATTTTTGCAGCATAATGAAGCTTTTCAGGCAGTCAATCTCCCCAGACATCTGCCTTTGCCAACAGTTACAACAATGAGGAAAACTTTAATAGTGGTGTGGCAATTATTTTTTTAATGCTGACTATAAAAACACCCACTGAGCTGTTTGCAGTCTCTGCCAAGTGGCAAGTGCACAGTGAATTTCAGCTAGGAGAAGACTTTAGACTTTAGCTCTAAAGTGATACTTAGAAGGGGAATGTGTGTCTTTCTGGATAGAAGAGAGAAGACAAGGCGGTCTGGGGCAGGGAGGACCAGGGAAACAAGGAAGATGCCAAGAAATAGACGAGGAAACACTTAGACAAGCCCATGCTTTTGCGTGATTTTCTCCTACTTCTCAGTCATCCCAGTGGGATAGCATCAAGTGAAGTCCCGGGGCCTCTCCAGTGATAATGGCAGACATCAGTGCCGGTGTTGGCTCTGGCTAGGAAACAACCTACCCCTACGGAATGCCTGTCAATGGAGCAGCAGCACTGCAGGAAGGTATCTAGCTGAGGGATTCAGATGGTGAACCCATTGTCAGAGGTCACACAAGTCACTGTTCAAGGTAAGAGTAATTAGTCTGTTCATTCAGTTGTCATTTGCTGAGTGTCCATTATGTGCTAGATGCTGAAGACACGTGGCTTTCATAGGTAATTCGACCACAGTCAAAGCTGCAATGGAATTCATTCACTAGAAGGAGATAAAAAGCACAGTTGCTTGTCTCCATGAAACTCACAGTCCTAGAAACAGTAACAGTCTTTATATTCTTACTTTGTACTTGGACAAAAGCTATTTTGTTATATCCTCATTACTCTCCTTATAAGACTTATTATCCTATACATTTACAGACGAGGAAAAGAAGCCTTGACCTTGCCCAAAGCCATACAGCTAGTAAGCAGCAGCAGCATCAAAACTTAAGCTTAAGTATCTTGATCCCCAGCTATCTGAAACCGTGGTCCCTAATATCTAGACCTTGGCACACTTTGGAGTTTTGGTGCAGCAAAACTCGACTGAAATCAGTGCCTGAGATTTAAGAGCTGTTCCCACTCAGACTACATGCAATCCTGCTACAACAAAGGTTCATGTAGAGACACGTAATATAAATACACTTAAAGCTGCAAAGTCATTCATTAACTGAAGTGTAGATTGGGCAGTTGACAATCTGGACTACAGAATTTTTTTTTTATTTTATTTTAGGTTCTGGGGTACATGTGCAGATCATGCAGGATTGTTGCATAGGTACACACATGGCAATGTGGTTTGCTGCTTCCATCCCCCCATCACATACATCTGGCATATCTCCCCATGTTGTCCCTCCCCAACCTCCCCACCCCTCTGCTGTCCCTCCCTTGGCCTCCCCTGCAACAGACTCCAGTGTGTGATGCTCCCCTCCCTGTGTCCATGTGTTGTCATTGTTCAACACCCGCCTATGAATGAGAACAAGTGGTGTTTGATTTTCTGTTCTTGTGTCAGTTTGCTGAGAATGATGGTTTCCAGATTCATCCATGTTCCTACAAAGGACCTGAACTCATCGTTTTTTATGGCTGTATAGTATTCCATGGTGTGTATGTGCCGCATTTTCCTTGTACAGTCTATCATCGACAGGCATTTGGTCATTGCTATTATAAACAGTGCCGCTATGAACATATGTGTGCATGTTTTTAAAGCATATTCTTACCACTTTTAAGAGCACTTTTGAGCTAGTTTCAATGTTTACATATTGAGATTCTATCTGATAAAATTGTATTTTGCCCAATATGTTTATCATGGCATTATTTATAACAGTAAAAAATGTCAAGGTAACCTAACTTATTAATATTAGATAAATGATGAGGAAAATATGGTGCCTCTCTAGAGATAGTATTATGTAGTCATTAAAAGTGATTATCAATAGTTATATGGCCAGGTGGAGTGGCTCATGGGAAGTCATGGCAGGAGGATCACTTCAAGTCAGTTCAAGACCAGCCTGGGCAATATAGCAAGACTCTGCCTCTACAAAAAAAACACATAGAATTAACCTGGCATGGTAGCATGCACCTGTAGTCCTAGCTATATGGGAAGCTGAGGTGGGGGAACTGATTGAGCCCAGGATTTGAAGGCTGCAGTGAGCTGTGATGGTGCCACTGCACTCCAGTCTAGATGATAGCATGAGACCTGTCTCCAAGAAAAAATTTTTTTTTTTTTTTAAGTTATGCAGTATAGAAATCACTCCCGGGCCGGGCGCGGTAGCTCACGCCTATAATCCCAGCACTTTGGGAGGCCGAGGCGGGTGGATCACGAGGTCAAGAGATCAAGACCATCCTGGTCAACAAGGTGAAACCCCGTCTCTACTAAAAAATACAAAAACTAGCTGGCCATGATGGCACATGCCTGTAGTCCCAGCTACTTGGGAGGCTGAGGCAGGAGAATTGCTTGAACCCAGGAGGCGGAGGTTGCGGTGAGCCGAGATCACGCCATTGCACTCCAGCCTGGGTAACAAGAGCGAAACTCTGTCTAAAAACAAAAAAGAAAAAAAAAAAGGAAATCACTCCCTGGCCGGGCACGGTGGCTCACACGTTTAATCCCAGCACTTTGGGGGGCTGAGGTGGGCGGATCACGAGGTCCAGAGATCGAGACCATGGTGAAACCCCGTCTGTACTAAAAAATACAAAAAAAAAATTAGCTGGGCATGGTAGTGCGTGCCTGTGGTCCCAGCTACTCAGGAGGCTGAGGCAGGAGAATTGCTTGAAACCAGGAGGCAGAGGTTACAGTGAGCCAAGATTGCTCCACTGCACTCCAGCCTGGTACCTGGCAACAGAGCAAGACTCTGTCTCAAAAAAAAAGGAAAGAAAAAGAAATCACTCCCTCCTCCAGAGCACTTACTACGCACCAGATACTCTTCTAAACATTTTATACATATAAACTCATTAATCCTCACAATAATCCCATGTGCTATTATCTCCAGTTTAAATTTAAAAAATAATCACAAAGAAAATGACATATCCAAAATCACAGAGCAAGAGAGGAGGCAGGGTTCAAATCCAAGTAAGCTAACTGCATGGCTTGCATTTTCAACCACTCCACTATATCCACTACACCGCCTCTCCACCATTCAGTGAAAAACACAGGAAACAAGTTTGTGTACATTTTGATTAGACCTATAAAGCACAAGCATCTCTACAGCAGAGGGCAAGAATGGAAGTAGTAAACAGAAGGGTATTAATGCTGAGCTGATTATTTTCGCTTCTTGTTGCTGGGTGACTAAGTTACCCCCAACACTTGGCAGTTTGAAACAACAAGCATTTATTTTCTCACTGTTTCCCCTCACTAAGAATTTGGGAGTGGCTTAGCTGGGTAGTTCTGGCTCAAGGTCTTCCATGAGATCCCAGGCAAGCTCTTGGTAGGGCTGCAGTCATGTGAGAGCTGGACTGAGGCTCCCCGATCTGCTTCTAAGAAGGCTCATGCTTATGGCTGGTGGCAATGGGGGCTCAATTTCTTGCTGTCTATTGCCCGGAAGCACAATTCCTTGCCAAATGGGCCCCCACACAGGCTTCTTAGGTGTCCTCACAAAGTGGCAGTTGGCTTGCTCCAGAGTGAGTGAACCAAGAACAAGGAGGAAGCCACAGTGTTTGCTATGATCCAGGCTAGAAAGTCATACATTCTCACTTCTACCACATTCTGTTTGTTGAGATCAAGTCACTCAGTACAACTCTTAGTCAAAGGGAGGAGAATTAGCTTTCTTTTTCTGAAAGAAAGACTATCAAGTAATTATGGACGTTTTTAAACCACAGTAGCTGGGGGATATGGCTCATGCATCTAATTCCAGCAATTTGGGAGGCCAAGGTGGGAGGATTGCTTGAGGTCAGGAGTTGAAAACCAACCTGGGCAACACAGCAAGACCTCATCTCTGAAAAATGAGCCACGCATGGTATTACATGCCTGTAGTCCCAGCTTCTGGGGAGGCTGAGGTGGGAGGATTTTTTGAGCACAAGAGGTTGAGGCTACAGTGAGCCATGATCACACCACTGCACTGCAGCCTGGGTGACAGAATGAGACCCTGTCTCTGCAAAAAAAATTAAAATATTTTTTGAATGGTCTCAACTAAAAATAAAAAAATTGTAAATGTTTTCAAACTATCAGGGTAATCATGCTAAGATTATGGGAGTCTAGGTCATTTTTTCTTTATTAGTGAAATTTTTATGTTTTTATGACTAAAAACATGAAAAGACAAACTTGTATTTAATATTTAAGTAGTTATAAAGATGTCTGCCACTATACTCAATGCACTCAACAATAAATACAACTTCTCCAAAGCTAAATTCAACTCTGTCAAATATTCCTCTGGTCTTTATCACATCTTCTGAAAAGGACAGTTCATCCTCAAATGTCTGAGAGGAAGGGATATTTTGAAAAGTACATGCCTCTCTTCTGCTCTCCAAGGTATTCTGATATCTGCCTGTCAGTCCAGGCAGACCTCCTCATATGCCTAGATGCCCTTAGAATTGTGTGAAGTTGCACAAAAACCCTGTGCCTTCAGCTTTTTTTAGGACACTGCCTATTATGTCTCTCAGTCTATAGGATGCACTACCGTGAAAAACATGCTCTCTTGAAGAATTGGTGTGCTTGTTCATTGCCAAGTTAAAAGGCTTGATGAATTTCCTTTCTTTGTCCTTGCTGCAAGGAAGCTCACAGCAATATACTGTCTTTTACAGTGAACATAGGTCTTTTTTCTTTATATGATCCTGTTTTTACAATTTTGTAACCTTATTTTACATAAGTCCTTTGCTCGAAGCCACAAAAAAGTCCTTTTTGGAAAAGAACAGGTAGGAACAATAGATACTGTTTTCATGCTTATCATGTGCTAAACAGTAGAAAGTTGGTTCCCCGGTGAAAAAAGATTTTTATTTTCTTTTTAAGCATTTGAAGTGCAGTTTGGGACTGGTTGAGAGTTTTCAGTTTTTCTAGATGGATATCTTTGGGATGTCCTTTTGGAAGCAGAAAGTTGATATTATTATCAGGAAAATTTGCTATTACTACTGTAAAGCTAGTTCCTATCCATAGTTTTCTAGAGAAAAGAAAATTATGAAGTCACTTAAAGTCCTAATGATGACGCTATAGCTCAAGATATTATTTATTACAATGTAATCTAGAGATAGCTTTATGCCATAAACTTGCTGACGTAAAGAATTTTTTTAAAATACAGATTTAGACTGAAATTTGGAGTTCACACATGGAATTACTGAAGTTGGAGAACACCTACTTTTTGAGCAACATACTCTGAACTTTTGTGATTGTCTTGTCAAGACAGTAGAGTTCAGACTGTCCTCTCTGTGGGTTAGGAGCATCCCCTGAAGAAAATAAGTTTCCACTGTCAGTCATGCTCAGACAGGAAAAACATGGCCTCGGAGGGAGGCAAGGAAGGATCCCCACCAATCTCACATGCTGTGGACTGAGACACTTGGGGTGTCTGACATGAGAAGCACAGTGGGAGCCAGAGATTCCCATGAGAAATGGGCCCTCCACTGCTTGGGAGCCCATAGAAAGCAAAGCAAGACTTTCAAATGGGGGTCAGAGCCTGTAACCCTAAAAGGAGTCATTGCTGACAGTCGTATATATAATCATTTTTACTTTTTCTCTGAACTCTTATTGAAGACGTTCTCTCAGTTAAGTAGTATGATTGTTATATACACCTCTAACCTGTTTAATACCTGTCACAACACTGATGCATTATATTTCTATTTTTCTCTAAAGTATCTTTCTC